GATCTGAGGATCATGGTTCAAAGCCAGCCTGGGCAGGAAAGTCTCTGTGGAGACTTTTACCTCCAATTAACGACCAGAAAACTGGAAGTGGCACTGTGGCTCAAGTGGTAGAGTGCTAGGCTTGAGCTTTGAAGAGCTCAAGAGACAGGGCCCAGGCCCACAGTTCAAGCCCCACAACAGACCAAAAAAAAAAAAAAGAAGTCTCTCTTGCTCTGGGTGCTGATAGCTCATGTCTGTATTCCTAGCTACTCAGGAGGTTGAGATCTGAGGATTGTGGTTCAAAGCCAGCCTGGGCAGAAAAAAGTCCCTGTGAGACTCTTATCTCCAATTACCCACTCAAAAATTGCAGGTGGTGCTGTGGCTCAAGTGCTAGAGTGCTAGTCTTGAGCACAAAGAGGCTCATGGACAGTGCCCCAGCCCTGGGTTCAAGCACCATAACTGATAAAAAAAAAAAAAAAAGATTGTTCTCTTAGTGGTACACTGGGTGAGTCACGCCTGTAATCCTAGCTGCTCCGGAGTCTGAGGTCTGAGGATCACAGTTCAAAGCCAATCTGGACAGAAAAGTTTGTGAGACTCTTTTCCCCAGTTAAGGAGCAAAAAAGCCAGATGTGGTAAAGTTGTAGCCTTGAATTAAAAAGCTCAGGGACAGTGCCCAGGCCTTGAGTTCAAGCCCCTGGACTGGCACAAAAAGAAGAAAATGTTTCTCAGGCTGAGGCAGGAGGCTCATTTGATCTCTAGGAGTTTGACACTATCCTTATCTCAAAAAGAAAAATCTATACATATTTCTCAAGTTTGAGATATTAGGAAATGTCTATATCAATTCAGAATAATTAGGACTATTTGTTCTGGTGTAACCAATAACACAAATCTGTGTTCAGTAAATTATTTTTGTTTTAATTTACTTGAAGGTGGGTACTTTTAAGTATCTGTGATTTATTTAATTGTTAGTTATACTAATCTTAAGAACATGCAGAAAAAAAAAGAACATGCAGGGCTGGGAAGGTGGCTCAGTGGTAGAGCGCTTGCCTTGCATGCGTGAGGCCCTGGGTTCGATTCCTCAGCACCACATAAGCAAAAAGAAAAAAGCCGGAAGTGGTGCTGTGGCTCAAGTGGTAGCGCGCTAGCCTTGAGCTGAAGAGCTGAGGGACAGCACCCAGGCCCAGAGTTCAGGCCCACGACTGAACCCCCCCCTCCCAAAAAAAGAACATGCAGATAAAATGTAAAGATTGTGTGTGTGTGTGTGTGTGTGTGTGTGTGTATGTATGTATGTATGTATGTGTGGTGTGATACTGGGCATTGAATTTGGGGTCTTGCACATGCTAGCTACATTTCCAGCCTCCCCTCCCCCCGCTCTGATTATTTTTTGAGATAGGTTCTTGCTTTTTGTCCAGTATTGCTTGGACTGCAATCTTACTTATGGTCCCTCCTGTAACTGGTATGACAAGCATGTATCACCATGCCTACCTTTTTTCTGCTGAGATGGAATCTCATGAACTCCAGTCTCAGCTTCCTGAGTAGCCCGGTGGACCTGCATACATCTCTGTACCAGGTAGTGGTTGAAATATAGAGGTCTTGCCTGGGCTAGCGTCAAGCTGTGATCCTATTTTTGCCTTCTGTGTAGCTGAGATTATAGGTGTTAGTCTCCTAAGCCCAACCTATACTTTTTTTTTTCTTTTTTTTTTTTTGGTCGGTCGTGGGGCTTGAACTCTGGGCCTGGGCGCTGTCCCTGCGCTCTTCTGCTCAAGGCCAGTGCTCTACCACTTGAGCTACAGTGCCACTTCCGGTTTTCTAGTGGGTTATTGGAGATAAGAGCCAGCTCCTGCCCTGGCTGGCTTGGAACTGCAATATTCAGATCTCAGCCTCCTGAGTAGCTAGGATTACAGGTCTGAGCCACCATCCACCCAGCCCAACTTTATCCTTTCTTTAGGGTAAACAAACTGTGTTTTACAAGCCCGGAACTATGGGAAGGAGGGATAAGCAAGGATAGGAGAGTTGCAGAAAAATTAAAAGTTTGTTTCAGTTGTGTTATAGGCATAATTTGTAATCGTTAACTAATATTAGATTATAAAAGACTAAAAGATATCCCCAAGGCAGTGAAAATTTTAAAGTATGTGTTTTAAGGAAGCAATCTCTTAATATTAATAAATGTTTTCTGAGATTCAGGAAGCATTAAAAATACAAGTTATTTTGAGACGAGTCTTAAGAAGTCTAAGCAGTTACCTGTTCTAACAGATGCAATATGTTCCCACAGAATGCCAATAAAATGAGAAGGAACAGGAAAAGTTCAAGGAGGAAGTGGGCCAAGCTCAGCTAGTGCACTTACAGTGTCAGAATAATACGTGAATTTAAAGAGAGAATAAAAAAGAAATTATAATAAATTGTGTTATCTCTGAAATTGTTCCCTTGTTTTTCTTTTATAAAAAACTTCCATCCAATGTCTAAGTTGTTTTCCATATTGGAGCACTATGTTGTGTTGTTCAAATGAAAGATTTGATTAGTTCCTTTTTTCTTTTGGCTCAGTAGAGGCATGCTGTTAATTTGGCAGCAGGGAGCCTTCTGCTTCAGAACTTACTTGCTGTACGTCCTGTTTCTCTATTATGAACTCTTGGTCTGTGAGTTTTTTTTTTTTTAATTACTTAGTTTTCTGTGATCACATGGAGCATGCTAAGTGACCAGACTAAACTTTCAAATTAACCTAGGTGGAAGGTTAAACTCACATAAGCTCTCATTGTTGTTGATATTGAAAGTCATATGTAAGTACTTGAAAGCAGATATTGTTCCTTTACATTTATCACAGCACTACTACCTTGAATTGAGATTATTTTTCCAACATTCAGTGTTAAAACAGTCAGGAATAAGCAAGCTTTCAGTGAATTTGTAGCATATAATAAGCCAGAAAGAGAGAGATACTTTTAGAAGGGAAAAGCAGTGTGTTTGGGACACTATAAAATTAGGAACTAGATTTCTGTGTCATTTCCTCATCTCTAGTTTCCACTGGACCTACAGTAGTTTTTTTTTTTCTTTTCATTCAGTAAGCATGTTCATGTCTGTTTATATTGAAATACTTTGTGTATCCTCTGAGCTTATCTTTTCAAGATACATCAAAGGAAACAGTCTGACTTAGGAGTATACTTTTATTTTTTATTTTTTTGACGGTCGTGGGGCTTGAACTCTGGGCCTGGGCGTTGTCCCTCAGCTCTTCAACTCAAGGCAAGCGCTCTACCACTTGAGCTACGGCGCCACTAGGAGTATACTTTTAAATGGCTGTGTTTAGAAAGTTGATTAGTTGTGAGGGATTTTATATCAGAGGAAGACCAGACAATATGTCATCTTTTACTACCCTACAAAAGGGTTTGAAGGCTGGGTGTTGGTGACTCATACCTCTTATTCTTAACTACTTCTGATGCTGAGATCTGAGGATCACAGTTTGAAGCCAGCCTGGGCAAGAAAGTTGGTGAAACTCTTATCTCAAATTAAGTCCAAAAAAGCCAGAGGTGGAGCTGTGGTTTAAGCTTAAGACTAGCACTCAGACCCTGAGAACTGTCACCCCCGCCCCCCAAAAAAGGGGGGGCAGCTGGGTGGCTCTCCAAAATGTTATTTTGTGAATTTGGTTGAGTTCATCTGAGGGAAATTTTACACACTGGGAGAGATTAGTATTTGTGTTTTAGCTTTCTCTTTGAGAAACTATTCAGTGGTTGTATAGAATACAATGGTTATTTAGGAAGTTTGTGTTTGTTATGAAGAATATTCCTATTTGTCTAGACATGGAAGGATATTTAAGTATATGTGGATCTAGAATACTGTACCCAAAATGGAGTGTGCATGCGAATCAACTGTGAAGCATTTTAAAAAAGAATACCTGACTTTCCCTGGGTGACTTTTACTTGTTCATTTAACTGTTTACCTTCCATTTTTAGAAAGCCCCATCACATGTCCTACTCTTCTCAGTTGGTACACAGTGTCTAGTGTTTGTGGGACGTTTGCAAAGTAATATCTACCTTAGTTTCCATCATGATAGTTGTTTTAATATTTAATATTAATTTTTTGTTAGTCGTGGAGGTTGAACTCTGGGCCTGGGCACTGGCCCTGAGCTCTTCAGCTCAAGGCAAGCACTCTACCACTTGAGCCACAGCGCCCACTTCCGGCTTTTCTACCACTGAGCCACCTTCCCAGCCCCTGTGTTTCACATTTCTACACTAATATTTATAAATTAGAATTCAGAAAGGGTAAATAACCCAAACTTTACAAATATGTCCCTTATGCTAGTTAGTTCCTCTACCCTGAAGATGACTAAGCTAACTAGTCTTAATTTACCTCTGAAATTGAGTTATGGTACTTGAGTTATGTGTCTAAAGTATATATAAGTCTTTTAATCTTACTATCTTTGAATAGATACATTTTCATCCCAATTATGCAATCCTATGTTTAATTGAAAAATTGTATCTAGTAGGTAGGAATTTGTTTGAATTACAAGAAAATTGGGATGTTTTTCATAATTATTTTTTGCAGTCCAAGAGGAAAAATGTCATAGGAAAATATATCATGGGAAAATATCATAGGAAAAATGATCAGTTATTACATCAGCATTATGTTATTGATACACATAAAATTCAGATGTCAATAGAATAGGATACTTTTGATCTTCATGTTTAAATACAGAATGATTGGGTTAGTAAATGTGTGCTTACGGCTATAGTTAGGCTCTTTTGTGAAGATTCATGTTTCTGAAACAACTTTATTTTGATTAGCCAGCAGTAATCAAGAAATACTATGACCACATAAAGCTGCACACTTGGTTTAGATTGTTTAACTTTTATTGTCTCTTTTTTTACTCAGGTTAACCCATAAATCCTTGCCCATAGTTCAGTAAATATAAGCTGAACTAATGAATACATAGTGTTTTTTATCATCTTTATTACTTCATAAAGAACCTAATGTCATATGTTATGGGTTTATTGAGTTCTAGGATAAAGTATTTGTTTTATCTTCTTATTTTTCAGTCACTAGAAGAGGATCCATGGACAAAGCTGAATGCCAGGGACCATATTCCTGCCCTTGTTCGTAGTAATGCCTTCTCAGAGAATTTTTTAGAGGTCTCAGCTGAGATAGCTCGAGGGAATATCCAGGCTGTAGTCCTACCCTCAAAAGATCCAGAGGCACTTGAGGAAAATTGCACTAAAGCCCTGACTTTAAGGATACATGATTCTTTGAATACCCTGTCGGTTGGCCTGGTGCCTACCAATTCAACAAATACCACTGTGGACCAAAACCAAAAAAATTCAAAGATGTCACCTGCTCAAATGAAAGCCCAAGAAGTTGAAAAAACCCCTCCAGCAAACTTCAAAAGGACATTAGAAGAGTCCAACTCTGGCCCGCTTATGAAGAAGCATAGACGAAATGGCTTAAGTCGAAGTAGTGGTACTCAGTCTGCAAGCCTCCCCACCACCTCACAGCGAAAGAATTCTGTTAAACTTACCATGCGACGAAGACTTAGAGGCCAGAAGAAAATTGGAAATCCCTTACTACATCAACATAGGAAAACTGTTTGTGTTTGCTGAAATGTAACTGGGAAAGGGATTTTCCATACTTAGGTTATGAGGGCTTTTTAAATCTGGTGCCGAAACTTTTTATAAGGGGACAAAATAAAGAGTATACAGTTTGACTTTTTGCTTGTATTATAAATGTGAATTTTGTAGATGTAGGGTATAAGTCGCTGTAAAATGTGTGTAAATTTGTATCCTTCACACAAACTCAGTCTCTTATTCTGACACACAGTACTTATGTCAGCAGGGCTAAATGTTAAAAATCAAAGAATTATTAGATTTTAGAAATACATTTAAACTTTTTAAAATGCTTATAAAATTTGTATAAGCCACTTGTGATGAAAACAACACAGCTTTTTAAAGTGAATTATTAAGTAAACTGGAAAAGTGATGTATTTTCCTAGTGAATTGTGCTCCACTAACTGTTTCCTAGGGACTATTAATGTCTTTTAAAAATTATTTTTATTTCTCATTTCATAATTCTGGATTGAAGTTTTTTTTCTTTCTTTCTTTTCCTTTTTATTTTTTTGGTTAGTCACGGGGCTTGAACTCAGGGTTTGGGCACTGTTCCCTGAGCCTCTTTTTGCTCAAGACTGGTGCTCTGCCACTTGAGCCACAGCACCATTTCCAGCTTTTTCTTAGTAGTTTGTCGCATGGACTTTTCTGCCTGTGCAGGTTTCAAACTATGATCCTCACATCTCAGCCTTCTGAGTAGCTAGGATTATAGGTGTGAGCCACCAGCACCCGGTCAGAATTGAATTTTTTCATAGGAGAAGTGTTGAGTCATGCTAAAGTAGCTGGATTTTTAGTCTCTCTCTCTCCTTCTCTCCCCCTTTCTCTCTTTTAATTGCCAGTCCTGGGGCTTGAACTCAGGGCCTGGGCACTATCCCTGAGCTTCTTTTGGTCAAGGCTAGCACTCTCCAAGGTGCCACTTCTGGCTTTTTCTGTACATGTGTTACTGAGGAATCAAACCCAGGGCTTCATGCATGCTAGGCAAGCACTCTACCACTAAGCCACATTCCCAACCCTAGTCTCTGTTGCCTAGTTAAAATATAATATGTGCTATCTCTTACTTTAGTAGGCTTTTTTTTTCGCCAGTCCTGGGGCTTGAACTCAGTGCCTGGGCACTGTCCCTGAGCCTCTTTTTGCTCAAGGCTAGTGCTTTACCACTTGAACCACAGTGTCACTTCTTGCTTCTCCTGAATAGTTTATTGCAGATAAGTCTTACCAACTTTTCTGCCCAGGCTAGCTTCGAACCATGATCTTCAGATCTCAGCCTCCTGAGTAGGATTACAGATGTGAACCTGTGAACCTGGCTCTTCAATAGGATTTTTCTTTTTTGGTTGGTCGTGGGGCTTGAACTCTGGGCCTGAGCGCTGTCCCTCAGCTCTTCAGCTCAAGAGTAGCACTCTACCACTTGAACCATAGCACCACTTATGATTTTCTAGTGGTTTATTGGAGATAGTTTCAAGGACTTTCCTGCCTGGGCTGGCTTTGAAACGCGATCCTCAGATCTCAGCCTCCAGAGTAGCTAGGCTTACAAGCTGAGCCACTGGCACCCAGGTTTCAATAGGATTTTCTAAACATTAATCATCTGATCACTGATTCTTTGGCATAGAAAGAGATTTGTTTTCCTAGAACCACTTGTCTTCCTCAGTCACCCTAGACCCCTGGCATCATGAGTTTGTAAAGTACCCTTTTCTAGTGTGATGTTTTCTTGCTATTTCAATAACAGATGGTGCTGCTAATTTCCAACATTTCTTAAGTTATTTTATATCATACAGGTTTCATGATCATGAGGATGTGCTTGTTCATATAATAAATAAGTGAAGCATTCTTTATGTTGCTGATACTCGGTGACTGGTATATGTTAATAGTCTACTGTGCTGTGATCATGCTTTTGAGTAATGACTTAAAATACATGTAATACCCATTTTTGCATGCAAAGTTTTTATTTTGGTGTAGGATACATAGAAACAAACTGAATAGCCAACAAGAACATGATTAAGTCTGATTATAAGTATTTGTTAAAACATTGTTTATACTTTGGTCATAAAGAAAAAAACCTAAAAGGAATATTAAAACACTGTGAGCATATAATTTTGACGTGATGAGTTATGTTCTATATAATGAGAAAAAAGTTAAATTAATTTGAACAAAGTTTTATCACTAGATTAAAGAGTTAATTCATGGCCTTGGGAGTGTAGCTCAGTGGTATTGTACCTACTTATCATGCCAGAGTTCCTTGGGTTCAACACCAAAACAAATGTTAATTTATAATGCAACATTGATTGTGTAGCATAAGCTTAGACACTGTATGGTGGAAGTATCTTCTACAAGAGGATTAAGGGTTAGTGATCAAAGTGAAATGTTACTTGTGGCTAGTTCATTGATGCTGAGGATTGAACCCAGGGCATCAGGCTTGTAAATTACATGTTGTACCACTGATCCACATACCCCCAGTCTGGGATGGCTATTTATTTTTTTGTCTTTTTGACAGTACTAGTGTTTGAACTCAGGGCCTAGTTGTGCTTGCTAGGCAGGCACTCTTGTAGTTTGAGCCACACCTCCAGCCCTGATTTTACTTTTTATAGTGCTAGAGATTGAACCCAGGACCTCATGCATGCAGGGCAAGTGCTGTGTTGCTGAGCTACATCTCCAACTTCATGATTGTCTTTTGAGGATTTTTGGATATTGAAGAGTTTGTGTTTCATATCTTTCCAGGATAAACACAAACGAAGTATAGATACTTCTGTAGTGAATTCCTTATGAAGGGCTTTTTCATCTTGTAGAACTATGATACCATCCTAGCTGCATTAAGTATCAAGCAAGCAAGTCTGAATGTATATTAAAATCCACATAGCTACTTTTCACTTTTTATCCTCGTGGTTGTAAATAAAATATTGCTAAACATGAAGTTTAAATTTCCATTTGGTTAGTACAATGGATTATGTAGTCTTTATTTTTCAGATTTTTTTTTTGTGTGTGTGTGTGTACGTGTGAGGTGCTGGGGTACCAAACCCAGAGCCTTAACCTGTGAGGTAGGCAAATGCTCTACCACTAAGCTATGTCCCCAGCAAGCCCTTACGCAAAGCTTTCAAATGTGTTTAACTAGCTGTGTTTTTGTAGCAGTATTAATGAGCAATGTTATTTTCATCATGAAATATACCTGGGAAGTAGCTGTAATGAAAACATTTTAGTGTATTTTATTCCTAAATATACTATGTCACTAACAAAAGTTAAAACTTTCTTTTTGTTTGTTTTTGTCTTTTGAAACAGGGTCTCATTCTATAGCCCAGGTTGGCCTGGAACTCCATGTGTCACACAGGTTAGCCTGGAACTCAATTCTCCTGCCTCAGTCTCCCAAGTGCTTGGGACTACAAGTGTGTACCCCTGTAAGGCTAGGCCTAGCCTTTATTTTAAACTGAAGCAAAATCAATATTGAAGTAGCTGGTCACCTTAGGGATTATAATACACATTCTCTTATAGTCTACTTGGAATTAATATTTTATCACTTAAAGTAAGTTGCAGAAACTTTACCACTGTACTGTCTTTATGTTACAGTTGGCCTGTTTTACATCTATATAATGTATATTCAAAACCAATCAAGCAGTTACACAGCTTGGTATCAATAATGAAACATTTTAAGGAACTTGCTGAATCTCTTCTATTTAGGTGTATACCATTGTTCTTCTTTTATTTACACTTTATTCCTTTTTTTTTTTTTTAAAGTCATGGGGCTTGAACTCTGGGCCTGGGCACTGTCCCTCAGCTCTTCAGCTCAAAGCAAGCACTCTACCACTTGAGCCACAGCACCACTTCCGGTTTTCTGAATGGTTTATTGGAGATAAGAGTCTCATGGACTTTCCTGCCTAAGCTGGCTTTGATTACAGGGGTGAGGCACTGGTGCCCGGCTTCCTTTTATTTTTTTCCTTAACACTAAAATATGCAGCATCCTTCTTGGCTTATGAAGAGAAATGTAGTCATTTTTCTGTCACTGCTTTCCAGATTTTTATCATTTAGCAATTTGGTTATGAGTCTGAATATTTGTACATGCATGTGCTGAGTATAGAATTCAGAGCCTTGCACGTGGTCGGCAAGTGTTCTACTATTGAGCTCTACCCCTAGCTTTTTTTTTTTTTTTTTTTTTGCTGTAAGTTGCCAAGTAACCCATTAACAAATGTTCTCTAGAACATGCACATTGTTTTTTTTTTTTTTTTGCTAGTCTTTGGGCTTGAACTTGGCCTGGGCACTATCCCTGAGTTTTTTTGCCCAAGGCTAGCAGTGTACCACTTGAGCCACTGCTCCATCATGGACTTTACTGCTTGGGATGGCTTTGAACTGTGATCCTCAGGGCTCAGACTTATGAGTAGATATGAATTCAGGCATGAGCCACCAGTGTTCCATGTTCAAAATGTACCTTGGTTCTGGTTTCATTGATTTTTGTTTTTTTTTTTTCAGAAATATGTATTTTTGTGCTGGTCCTGGGACTTTAACTCAGGGCCTGGGTGCTGTCCTGAACTTTTGTGGTCAAGCTTAAACCCTACCGATTGTCACTGCTCTACTTCTGTTTTTTTTTTTTTTTTGGTCCAGTTGTGGGGCCTGAACTCTGGGCCTGGGCACTGGCCCTCAGTTCTTCAGCTCTTCAGCTCAAGGATAGCGCTCTTGAGCCACAGCGCCACTTCTGGCTTTTTTCTTTTTATGTGGTTCTGAGGAATGGAACCCAGGGCCTCATGCATGCAAGGCAAGCGCTCTACCACTGAGCCACCTTCCCAGCCCTACTTCTGGGTTTTTGGTGGCATATTGGAGATAAGACTCTCATGGACTTTCCTGCCCATGCTTTATTGTTAGATCTCAGCCTCCTGAGTAGCTAGAATTACAGGCATGAGCCACCTATGCCTAGCTTAAAGAGCGTTTTTTTTTTTTTTTTTTTTTAAAGAAGTTGACAATCTTAAGTTACGGAATACTGGTTTTTCATAAGAAATATTTTTAGTTGCTTCCCCCCCTCCCCTGCCCTCGGTACTGGGGTTTCAACTCAGGCCCTTGAGTACTGGCTTTTTCTGTTCATGCTCTCTGGTGCTGGCTTTTTCCTACAAACAGTTGTCTTATTTATGTTG